GGGGGGGGGGGGTTAGGTCACCACCTCCAGGCAAGTTACAGCCGCATCAGGCCCCGCCAATTTGTGTCATCCGAGGCCTAAAAGAACCCTCCCTCCCCGCTTCCACCCCAGGTTCTTCAAAGCAAGATTAATTGCCTTTAGTACGTTGCGGCAATTAAAACAATCGAGCACCAGGAACTGTCAGATGACGCCGTCAGCCTCCGGCCGCCGCGGCTGAGCCAACCGCTGGCTCCAAGATGCTGCTTCCGCGTGTCCCCCCCTTCATCCTTCATCCTTCCTCCTTCATCCTGCATCCTTCAGCCTTCCTCCTGCATCCTTCATCCTGCATCCTTCAGCCTTCATCCCGCTCTGGAGCGCGGGGACAGGGACAGCACTGGGGCTCAGCCCCGCTCCCCCCGGTCAGAATCCCCCCCCGTGCTCCCCCCAGGCCCTGCTCTGCCTGCAGAAGCCAAGGTTACATCTAATTAAAACGTATTCCGCAGCCAGAGGCCGGGCAGGAGCCCCGGAGGGTGGGGGGTGTGGGTGAAGGTTCCCAGCTCCAACCCTTGATCCCAGCTCCTCGCCTGGGAGGGAAAATCCAAGGGGATCAGCTCCAGGCTGAGCTTCCTCGGGGGACGTGCTCTGGAGACACAGGGAGAGACCTGCCGGTGCACAGGCAGGCTGCAAAGAGCCTCTGATCAGCCCTTCCCCAACCTCATAAACCCCCGGGGTAGAGATTTTTTTTTTCCCTTTGAAAACACCAATAAAACACGCGGCAAAGCCTCGGCGAGCAGCAGGGCCCCCGCGGCCGCTGGCAGCGAGAGCCGAGCGCCTGATGGCGACGGGCAAACCCCCCTCGTGGCTGCAGAGCCCTCAAACACGAGCTCTTGCTCTAAAATACGAACACTGGAAATCGCTGCTGCCTGTGTGTCAGGAGTTAACGGAGCCCGGGCTGGGCGAGCGTGGCGAAAGGCCTCGGACAGGGCCACGCGGCTGGAGCGTTGCGCTGGGGAAGGCTCAGCGGGCGGAAAACGGAGCGCGGGAGGAGCCCGGCCCGGCCTCATTTCTTCTGTTAATCACTCCGAGAGACAAAAGCTCCCGGAGCCACTCGTGGGCTAAAATGGAAGCTCTGCGCGGGGGGGGGAGCTGTGGCACCAGCCGCACCGAGCAGCCTCAGAAGGGATGTTATTTTTGGCAGCTATTACAGCCAGGTTTTGCTCAAAACTAAGCTCGGAAAAAGCAGCTTAGTGCAGCTGTGCAATCCGTCAGCCCACCTGCTTCTGACTTTATTTCTCTGACTGTTTCTCACCTTCTCGGAGCCCAGGAGAGAAGGGAGGAGACTCGCAGCCACAGTTTCTGCAGTGAGGGTGGGGGGACGGAGGGAGGGGGCTGCCTGTGCAGATTAGCAGGAAACCACCCGCTTGAGCTCTCCGGAGGTGGCCTCAGAACCAGATTCTTAATGTTTCTGGCGACTAATCTCCACACAAGCTGCTGCGCCCACAGATCCAAGGGGCAGGGACAAGACCTTATGACACCTACGCTGGGACACTCCTCGTTTCTATTTCCCTCTGAGCACACAGGAAGAAATTCTCCTTCTTTGGGTCAAGATGAAAACACCATCTGGCCTGTGATGGTCCCCCTTGGCTGCAGAGGAGCTCGCTGCCGGCCGGCTGCGAGGGAAGGAGCTGAGGTTTGCTGCCCATCGCTGCCACGCTCACCACTTGAGGAAAACCAGCCCAGCCAGAGCCGTGTAGCCCAGCACCAGGAAGAGAACCTTCAGGAGACGGTCGGTCTTGTCTTCCAACTCCTTCGCAAGGATTTCAAAGAAGGTGACGAACAAGAAGGTGCCCCCCGCGAAGCCTTGCAGGAGCAGGGATGCAATGCTGCTGGCTGCATTTTGGGTGCTCTGGATCCCCATCCCGACGCTGATGCCCACAGGAATCATCAGGCTCACGGTCACGGCCATCTTCGCAGCGTCCTTCAGCGGCAACGAGGTCTTGGCCATGCTGATGCCCAAAGCCACCGCTACCAGCGTCTCATGAATGGCAACTCCAAGGAACAAGCTCAGGACTTTGTCGCCCTCCTCCTGCAAGCCCAGGGCCAGTCCCTCGAAGATGGAGTGTGTACACAAAGCAAACACCAGCCCGATGAGCCGTAAGGGGCCGGAGCGGGAGAGCTCCTGGATGCTGAGGCCATAGCTGTGGGAGTGGTGACCGTGGTCGCTGTGCAACGTGCGCCCCCGGGGGGACGCGATGAAGGGGCTCTCGTATTCAGAGTCACTCCCCACATCCGAACCGGCGTTGAAGGTCTCCAAGTCAATGAAGGAGGGTTTTTCCTTCTGGAAGGTCAGGATGAGCTGCTCCACAAAGACAGTCACAAAGAAGCCAACCATCATGATGGTCTCGGCCACCGGGTAGTCCGTGGTCACGTTCCCCTGCCTGAGAACTTCAGCGACCTGGAACGAAGCAAACAAACCCCAGGGAATCAATCACCTTCGTCCCTCTAAAAATATTCTGATTGAGTTCACGCAACTCTAAACAGACACTAAATTGATCCATGAGGTTTTAATACCCTTGTGTACAGGCCTCAGTGTAAGGGGCAGGAACCTACCTCCCTTCCAGAGGAAGGTTCGTGGCTGCCTGCAAGTGGGTTAAACACACACTAAATGGCAGGAGTTTAGGCCTCACACCCTTGGTGATGCTCAGTCATCTTCTAGACCGAAACAATCTCCAGTTACCCCACGTGGACAGCCAGCAGTAGCTGGATGGGAGGCAGGCACAGCTCGCCCTCCTGATCTGAAACACCAGGCCCAGCACAGCCGTTCCTGAGGAGGCTTCATGGGCCACTCTGGTGAGACACAGACCCTCCACTTGCCCAGAGCCAGAGGTCTGGTGGCCTGGGCTGCTGCAGGGCAGGAGAGGGCAGGGTGGTGCCCCCATAGAGGGGAACCTCACACACCCAGTGGCACCAGTAAGCAGTTACCTTTTCCCTCACAGCGGGCAGCAAGGCGTTGAAGCAGGTGGCCAGGAAGACCCCTCCTCCAAAAGAATTGCAGAGGGCAAGGACCTTCTTGGAGCGATGCGCTTTCTCGTAATCGGCCTCAATGATCTTGATGGGGAGGAGGGACCCAGCCAGCATGAGGATGCAAATGCCCATCAGACACAGCACTTTGGCCACCACGATCTTCATGGTGGCTCCTGGCGAACGCTCCCTGCGGCCGGCGGGGGCCCCTCCGGCTGCTGTTAGAGCCAGTGATGCACAGCCAGACCTCGAGGGAAAGTTGCTCCTGGGCTCAGCACCTGGGGCTGGACAAAAACAAGAGAGATTTTCCTGTATAAGCATAAATTGTGCGGAACAGCACCCTGCACCCCAAACTGCATGCCAGCCCTCACCTTAACTCCCCAGAGGCAAGGGGTAGGGAGCACAGCAGCAGCTCCTCACACACAACGGGTAGAGACACCAGCAGAGAAAAAGTAAACTGCAGCAAACAGTAACTTAAAAACCCTGTGAGAAATGTACTGGCCACACAGAACCAGCACAGCCTCAGGTTTCAGGGGTTTCATTTGAAATGACACAAAACCTCGATCTTGTGGTAAAATCCACCTGAGTCCAACCAAAGGATCAAGCCTTTGGTTTTTAACCTGTGAGAAAATAATGTGGACTCGAGCTGGTGGTATTTGTCACCCAGAAATAAACACAAAGATCTCCCTGCAATATTCACACAGGTTGGGTTTTTTTTTTTGTACTGTCCTTGAAACAAGACTATCGGATTCATTCCTGCTCGGTTTCCCGAGCCACCGTCACCATCCCACCAGGGTGGGTCACAGTCACTGTTTGCTCTGTACCAGGAGTCGGTGGAAGCTTCGGCTGCCGATCAATTTGCACGTCTCTGAAGAGAAACCCTACAGAGAAATTCACTGCGAGGTTCTCCATTGCCCACAGGGTGTAACAAAAGAGGAGGCAGATGCTAGTTTCATACAAGAGAAAAACACCAAGGTTTGAGTTGCCTAGGTCACAAAAATTGACTCGATCTGAAATGTAAAAGCGTTTCCCTGCAGGTTACATGCGCTAGCAGGGAAACTTGTTTTTCTACACAAAATAACAACGCTATTTATAAAATCTACTTGTAAAAATACGTAAGTGTGAACAGGTCCCTCTACTCCTGCTTGTTCTCGCAGCAGCCCAGCCAGCACCTCGGAGGATTTCACTTACCACTTGTACCAAATTGGCCCGTAAAGTCAAATCCATGGGACCTTGAGGGTTCTCCTGCAGGTCACCCAGGTGAGGGCTGCGACAGCCCCGAGCTCTGAGGGGACGCCACGGCACGTCTCGGGGTGCAGAACTAACACCCAACGCTCCCAGCCACGCCGACACCCACACCCCTGATGGACAAGGTAAATAATTGGATACCTGTTTGCTGGAGCGGCAAATTAATTTTAATACAAAAGATTCCTGAGGCTAAAGCCTCCCTTGAGGGCTGACAGTATTAATCATTATCACCATTGCTGCGCAGCGGGCTGCATAAATGGTGCTTTTATTAAAAAGGAAGTGAGAGACTGAATGACTCTACTTGGTAAGGGAGTTTAAAGCCTTTTTCTGAGTTTGCAGCTCAAGCAGGAGTGAACAGAGAGAGGTCACAGCGGTCAGGCCATCTGCGACACCTCAGGTTGTCAGGCGGGTGTCCCCGGGAAGGGACGTTCATCAGAAGAGAACCCTGCTCAGATGACACTGACTGACTCACTCCCGGTGAACCCAGCAGACAAGCCAGGTCTGAACAAGCCCAGAGCCTGAAATCTTGGTGTATGCTGACAGGGCTTCCGCAGCAGGAGCCTGTCAGCCCGGCTCCCTCTCCTGAGATGTTGACTCCAGGACTGCCAAGGCTCGTCAGCGCCGCGCTGACACCGCTAACAAGTAACCCTGCTGTCGTAAAGCACAATGCTGCGGCCTCGGCGTCAACATGACGACAAGGACTTCACCTCGCGGGGTGACGGTGGGTCGTCCTGCCAAGCCTCTCAAATGAACTTGCTCAGAAAAGTGACACTGGCAGCGACGCCGTGGAATCACTGCTCACGAGAGCTGGAGACTGCGGGTGCAAAGGTGCCACCCACAGTGGCTGCGGGAGGCGGCCAGACAGCTCCAAGGACAGCAGGGAGGAAGAAAACCCTCCTTTTCCAGAATTCCCACTTCCCCTGGAACACACCTGCCTTCCCCTCGGAAATTCAGAACCCCCCCAAACCTAACTGTTTATTTTTTCTTTCCTTTTGAACCCAGCAACACCCCAAGAAGAAGAAAAACCTCCTCTTCCAGAACTCACACCTCCCCTGGAACACGCCTGCATTCCCCTCAGAAATTCAGAACCGCCCCAAACCTAATTGTTTATTCTTTCTTTCCCTTTTAACCCAGCAACACCCCAACAAAACATAAAGCCTCAAGCTCCTGACAGCCAGTGGAGCAGCCGCCCTTCAGTGCCCCCTGACCCAGGGCGGAAAACAATTTAGTGAAAAATGAAGCTGTAAGTATGAGAAATACCTGGTGTTTCTCCCTGCCTGCTCTTCCCGACAGCGTTCAGGAGCCAGCGCCGCCAACGTGTGGACTATTCCCCCAGCCTGAAAACTTCTGTAATAAAGAATTAACTCAGGACAGGTAGTGCTTGGCTTAGTGGCTCATAACGAGACATTCAAGCCATTAAAAATATTATATAAAGCAGACAGCCCTCTGGGGAGGGGAAAAAAAAAAACAACCCAGGGCTTTGTTTATGCGTGATCCTTTAAATCTCACTTTTTCTGTTAAAAACACACTCACGGTGCCCCCAACACACCGGCACGGCGTGATGCTGAAACCGGGATGGATTTTCCCCAGAGCCGCACTTGTCCCAGCATCTCCCACCGCCTGAAGCCACTTGAAAGGGTCCCGGTGACCCTGGAGAAGGGGGTGCGGGGGGGCTCTCCCAGACCACCAGAGCAGGCCCACACCCGCCCGAGCACCCCAACAGAGTGCAGAGCGGGGCGGGGGGCGCTACAAGGGCTGTCTCTTATA